CTGGGTTACCTTATCTTAGAGTGCTTGACTCTCCATACAGATGGTAGCACTCTAAGCCTCCAAGGCCTGATGTTTGTTGTTGTTTTCCTTTACCAGTGCAGTGAGAGCCGTAATCTATGCCGCAACATTGGGCACCGAAGTATCAGTGTCATTGGTCATGGTAGTCGAATGGGGAAGAGGAGAAGCAGCTTAAGCAGGTCGTTTTGGGTCGAAAAATTGCTAGGGCCCCACGGTGGGCGCCAAATTATGAACAATTAAATTTACGATTAAATTTGTAGAGACAAGATCTTGGGAGGTGAGCCACTGACAATCTTGATGGACCTGCGGAGTGTGCACTTGCGGTTGAGGGGGCTTTTATAATTTATGGATGTCATCTGAATATGCCAAGAGCTTGGGGGTGAGAGTACTAGAACTTTGGGATGATTTCTAAATATCTAATGAGAAGGTTTGCCTCTGTTTATATAGTAAACCTAAGGGGTCTGAATCCTAGTAGGATTCTAAGTCTTACTTACTAGGAGAGTTCTCCTTTTGGAAGGAGATTGGATTTCTTGCCTTTATCGGTTCAGGCTTTCCTCTTTGGGTGAGATTTGGGATCTCGTCAGAAGAGGAAATTGACTAGGATTCTGATCCTTATTGTGAACTACTATGGGCAAATAGGCCGAACCCAGTTCAACTTAACTCGTAGAGTAGCCCAACTCATTGAGCAAGCATTTCACAAGATAGTTTAAGCGTGGGCCCAAACGGAATTGGGCTAAGGCCTTTGGACCGTGACATTGTCATCTTGTTATTGGACCTCATAAGGTCTAATATAATTTTTGGCCCATACATCTACTAAGTGTTAGAGTATATGCCCTAAAGCTAATCAATTATTGTAGAATTGACTCTTTGTAATAATATTCATTGATCAAGAAAAGCCATTTTATTCTATATCGCGTAAATCATTATTATTGTAATATGTATTGATATATATCCTTAGAATGGTAGAACCGTGACGAGGGTATCAAGTATTTCAAATCTTGATGGTGAGAACCTTATGAGCACATATGGTGGCCATTCTAGAAACGTTCGTAGCCCCAGTATTATTATGAAGTAAGGGCGCAGATAATACGGTAAGTCTATCATAGTGTTGAACGACATTGTCGAAAGGCAGTGACTGATCTCACTTGTCAAGGTTGTTTGGTGACAACCTGGTGCAACACATGGGTGCTTGCTGTAGGCGAATACACCGCTGCAAGTTCACTGGACAGACCCACCAGAGGATTCCATATGGATGGTAACCCCAGTGTCTATGGAACAAATCCGCTAACGAATGGTGGTGCATGTGATCCTTAGACTTGAGATCACCAGAGCGCCTTATGCACCGATTGGTGCAGTTTGACACTAGCCTAATGCAATTCTATTCAGAGCTGTCAATACGATGGTGATTGACTGCATCAAGGAGTGTATCAAGACTATGGTGGATAGACAGAGGATCACTGGACAGACCCACCAGAGGATTTCATATGGATGGTAACCCTAGTGTCTATGGAAGAAATCCGCTAACGAATGGTGGTGCATCCTTAGACTTGAGATCACCGGAGCGCCTTATGCACTGATTGGTGCAGTTTGACACTAGCCTAACACAATTCTATTCAGAGCTGTCAATATGATGGTGATTGACTGCATCAAGGAGTGTATCAAGACTATGATGGATAGACAGAGGATTCATCACTCACGAGTACGAGAGAAGTTATCTCACATCACAATTCAGTATATGGCAATGACACTAAAACTGTGGCCACAGTGGGATTGAGTTGTTGCTCTATCTGGATTATAATACAAGTCATTGGTCCAGAAACTAAATACATAATATCGAGAGTAACCGAAGGTTGACACTATTTCTATGCCTTCGTCTCGTCGAGATAACGTATGATGAAAGGATCAAATTGTACGGTAACCATATCGTTGACAGGTAGCTACTTTGATGAATCCGAATCTATCAGGTGGCCATGATGCCTTGCTAGGGCCAATCTTGGTCTGTGTATTAGTGAGACGATTAATTGATGTTAATCGCGATACTATACACTCCGATATGATGAGGAGCCTATGGGTCACACACATAGAAGATAATGTAAGAGCCAAGAAGAAAGAATGGCGTTTTCGTCTGTTTAGGTGAAATTGTATTTTGGTAATTTCACAGTACAATTAAATTTGCTGAGGTCGTAGCCTTTATTTAATTTATTAGAAAAATTAAATAAGTGAAATTACGTTTAAATATGTGTTCGCATATATTAATTAAATCATCATTATTGTTAAATGTTAATATATATATAATTGAGATAATGATGAAATAAAATAAATATCTAATTGGGAGTGTTTGGTAACATGGGGTGTTTGGGTTGGAGTCCAAGCCTATTCCGTATGGGGATAGGGCAACTAAGTTTTCAATATAAAAGAAAAAGGTTATTTGTAAAATGGGAGGGTTAATTTATTATTCACCTTTTCTTTGAAAAACAAAAGGCACAGCCCCATACATTCTCTCCCATGGCAGATTTGTTTTCGATTGAAAACAAAACATTTCTTTTCTTCTTTAATCTTAAAGCTAAAGAAGATCTAACAAATCCCTTTTTAGTTCTTTGTGATTGTCTTCGTGTGGACTACGTTAGTTCGATCCTACACTTGGGTCAGTAGCAAAACGTTCAAAGACAAAGTTGGAGGAGCCTCCAAATGTGCGTATGGTTTCTAAACTCAAGAGTAATTTTTCTGCAGATTTCTACATGATATAAACTGTAAAATTATACCTTGATCTTGGCTCTATGTGAACGATCCTTGTATTATTATTTTTGTTTTCCGCTGCATACATCGAGTGTATCCTAACACTAAGACAATCTGAAACTTAAAAACCTAACTAAAACTCTATTTGATAATCATGTGATATGTGACAGTTTTATTGTTTATTAAGTTGACAATAATAAATGCCATTTTGGATTACAATTAATTAGATATTATAAACAGTTTCATTTCAAATAAATAGAGTTCAATATTGAAGTCAATTTTACTGCTAATACATCACATTACTATTGCTTGGTGGGTGAGAAAATAAAGAGTTCGGGCGCCCATGCATTTTCTTATATAACCATTTTCTAGAATTAACATTATTACTGTCATTTGTAATCCTACAAATAATTCTCTTACATCTTCATGTGTGGCAGTGAACTATAGCATCAATCACAATGGAATATGAATTCATAAAGAGGAAGAATTTGAACAATTATGGAACAAGCTTGCTCGATGGGAAAATCAATGGAGGTGGTAACTTGATGACTGAAGGATCGAACTAGGTTTGTTTTGGTTATCTCTCTATGTAGCAGGCAAGTTCAAGATGTCATGAATTTGTTTTCTTGTCGCATTTTCTCTATCTGAGCTTACTGAAACCACGCAATTTTTGCCTACTGAACGTTGTATCATCTTGGAAAAACTTGACAGACCTAGAAATTTCTTGCATAACCTATGTCTGTACTTCTTAAAGGTCGTAACCTCACTTTCCTAACATCAATTTCTGATAAATGTTTCAGTGCCTTTTTCTTTATAATAAGGCAAGCAATTTTCTATTTGTAGTTTTGAATTTCAACAACTATTTATTGTCTTCAAGTGACATTTTGTGTCGTGGAAGAGAGGAAGAATGGTGTTCAAAGAACAGTCGAAAGACTCGATTAATATATACAGACTTAATGGTTGGTTATGCATTCTCACTAACAATCTTTCTTCTTTCTTCAGTACAGGTTTTCATGTTTAAACAATAAGCATCGCAACTATTTCTTTAATGTGAAGAACTGATTTACTAGTTGAGCTCCATATGCTAAGAATTTATAATTTCTGTCAGTGATCACCAGAGGGAGTGTTCAAGGGCAAAGCAATGACAGAAACTACATTGAGGCAGTACTTGTAACAAAAACCAAATTGGCCTAATGAAACAAGTGTTGAATCTTTTGGTTTTCAACTTTTGTTGGCTGAGCTAGCCTCTGATCTGTATCCTTGCTTTTGAATAGAACAACTATTATTTATAACAGCCCAATTAGATTATGTAATTTCTACCCTTTTGTAGTATTAGCATCATCACTTTCATTTGTAATTCTACAATGATAGTTGCATGCATTTTCATATGTTACAGTATGCTTTTGGCATCAAATGTTCATGCCTCATGGAATGATGAGTTGATGAAGACTAGGAATTCAACATAGTTAATGGTTCAAGCATGGTAGACCGTAGATGGTGACTCGTAGGAAGATATAAATTAAAGCAACTTATTGATGAGTTGTGAGATCTAAATTTTCATGTATTTTTAGTTGTTTGAGATAGTAGTTACAGGGTACTGGTCTTACATATCTTGGAAAATATCTTTCTATTAATGTGCATTTGCTTTCAGAATCAAGTAAATTTTTTTTTTTTTTTTTTTTTTTTTTAATAATAGATGCATATTTTTATACAAGGTAAACAAGTGAAAAACTTAAATTAGGTTTTCACTCTTCTATACTCCAAAGTCCAAACTTCAACTTCAAATCTCTCAATTTTCGAGTTCAAACTGCTTTACATCTTATTCCAACTCTTCAAATTGATCATTTTGAGCTCCCTAATTGCTATATTTTCGGAATCAACTTCACTTATATAACTATTCTAATTGTTTTTGAAATATTATTTTTAGATAAATATGTTGAAAACTTTTTCAATTTTTTTGTATTTTTCAAAAGAAATTTTAAATGATGACAATTTAAGTATTGAATTAGATAATAATAATGATGTTACGTCCTCAACAGATCTCCCTAAGATTTATTAAACTCCTTATAAGTCTATTATCTTAAGGTTATGTGATAGGTGATCCAAGATAATTCGAAGTAATAAAATGAACAAACATTGTTTGCCACCATGCCAATTCCTCCGGGTTTGAACCAGCAATTAAAATGCAATAATATCCTTGGCAAATGAAATTTCAAATAATCTAATAAGTTGAGCCATGCAATTATTGACCAAAGAAAAACAAATTCAACATGGATGATTAGTGTTTCAATCTCTTCCCCGAGTATCATCCATGCATAGAACCAAATCCAACCTCATTTCCTACTACTTTTCACTTCTTCATTCTTCCCCTCACCTTTCACATCTCCGCCACCTCCATGCTCGCTTGCTTCGTACCTCTCTTTACAACAATGTCATCCTAACTACCAAGCTCGTTTTGATGTACTCTAAACACCACCAACTCCATTCTCACTCTCTCTCCCTCTTCTTTCACATGCCCCACAGGAACATCTTCTCTTGGAATATAATTCTCCGCGAGTTTTCTCGCTCTAATTTCCCCCACAAATCCCTTCAATTGTTTCACCATATGTGGGAACAATCAAATGTTCGACCCGATGACTTCACTCTCCCGCTTGTTTTAAGAGCATGTGCCATTTTAGGAGACCTAAAACTCGGCCTTTCGGTTCATGGGTTGTGTCACAAATTGGGTTTCGAAAGGAGTTTGTTTGTTGCTTCTGCTTTGGTCTTTTTCTATGTTACTTTTGGGAGGATTTTTTACGCGAGAGAAGTGTTCGATGAAATGCCTGATAAAGATTCGGTTCTTTGGACTGCCATGTTGGCTGGGTATGCTCAACATGCGGAACCCATTTTGGCTTTACAAGTTTTCCGGGAGATGGTTGGTTCAGAAGTTGAGCTCGATGACGTGGTCATGGTGAGCTTGCTTCTGGCGTGTACTCAATCGGGATGGTTGAAACATGGGAAGAGTGTTCATGCTTGGTGTTTGAGGAGGTTCTCTTTAAGATTGGGATTGAATTTAGGCAATGCTGTGATTGATATGTATGTAAAATGTTCGAAATTATGTTATGGGAATATAGTTTTTGATAATATGGATGAAAAAGATGTGATTTCTTGGAGCTCTTTGATTTTGGGGTACGGATTGAGTGGAAGTGTAAATATTGCTTTGGAGCTCTTTCATCGGATGCGTGAGGAAGGGTTTAAACCCAATGATGTTACATTTCTTGGTGTTCTGTCTGCGTGTGCTCATGGTGGTTTGGTGGAGAAAGCGCGTTTGTATTTTAAAATGATGGAAGATTTAGATGTGAAGGCAGACTTGAAACACTATGCCAGTATGGTTGATTGCTTAGCGAGGGCGGGGCTTTTGAAGGAGGCTGAAAGGTTTATTGAAGAAATGCCGGTGGAACCGGATGCAGCTTTGCTTGGTGCTATTCTTGGTGGGTGTCGAGTTCATAATGATATTGTGATTGGAGAACGCATTGCCAGGAAATTAATAAGGTTGCAGCCAGAGAAAGCTGGATATTACGTACTCTTATCAAACATGTATGCAGCCGCAGGGAGATTTGATGAGGCTGAGAAAGTGAGGATCGTGATGAAAGAAAGAAATGTCTCTAAGGTGCCTGGTTGTAGTTTGATTGAATCGAAAAATAGTTTCGTTTTTCCCACAAGATAGTGAAGCTCAAGATGGTTCTCCTGAAAATGAGATAAAGATGATGAGAAAAAAATTATTATGTCTTGATGGGAAATAGAGACTAGAGAGCAAATTTGCTTAGAAATCATGTAAAATTGACATTGGAGATCTCCATTTGCTTAGGTGGAAAGGAAGTAGAGAGTCAATTTGCTTTTTGATGATGACAATAATCTTGAAGGTAGCAGAAAAGAAACTTTGGAGGCAAATGCGGCAGAGCTCTTGGATAAGGTTTGATGGATTTTGATGTTACAACAGTGGCTCTTGAAAAAGAGGTGAAGATAGTGAGGAAAATTTTATTCTCCCTTTGGTGGAAAACAGACTGCAGAGGAATCTGATCTTGAATGTCTTCATTTGCTTTGGTGGAAAGGAACTACATGGTTAATTTGCATTTTGATGATGATGAAAATAATATTTAAGGTGCTCCATTTGCATTGGTGGAAAAGAAACTGAGAAAATGCACCAACGCTCTTGGTCATGGATGAGTTTATGGGTTATGTTAGCGGCACAATCAGCACGTAGAGGCGGCCATTTATGTAAAAATAATTTTACTTGTATGGTCCAGGGTAATTGTTTTATGTTTTCCAAATGTTGCAGGATTTGGCAGCAACTCCAATTTTGAACTCAGAATTACTAAGTAAAGAAGGGGGATTATCAAAAGAAATCTCAAGAAAAGTGGAGATCTTATCTCTATTTGATTAGGAAAAATAACTAATTTTTTTGTTCGCAGTATTCTTGAAAAAATTATATAAATCAAGTTTATAAAATAGAGAGAGCAAGTCACAGAAGAGGGTAAGGAGATCTCCTTTTGATAAAGTTTGAAATATACCCCAATTATTAATACATGATATAGCAAAAACCATATATAAAATGATATTTTTAATCTACATAACATTTTAATCTAATAGTCGTAATTAGGTCGACCGTGCAAAAAAAAAATTTAAGATCTAAATTCAATTAGAAAAATTATCACTTTCTGATAATGTTAACGACAAATCACTGATAGCGTCCCTTAATTGAAAATTTTGTAACTTATGTATTGAAGTATTCAGTTAAATAGTTTAAGTAAGAACTGTGGTTAGTGAACCAAACTTTACTTAACCACTTTACTCTTTACAAAAGAACGAATGTAAGACTAAAAGAGAGAAATTCGCCTTTACTTTGTAACATCTTTTCTCCAAATTTCTGTTCTTTACTTTGTAACATTATGTTATAAAAAGTTTGTTTCCTAATTAATAATATCCTCTCTCTCTCGTATTCTTCTCTCCTATTTTTATCTTTTCCCTGAGGTTTGGAGAAAGCATCATTTTGGTCCAACAAAATCTGAAAAAGTTTGTATAGTCCCTATCAGATTGCTACAATTAGGGGATTATAATTAAAACGTCCATTATACCCCCATTTGTCTTATTAGTTATTACGAAGAAAAAAATAGAATAGAAAAATAGAAATTTAGAGATTTGTATAATAAAATTACACTGAAATATAATTAATGAATATAATTTAAAATAATATTACACCAACAATCCTCTCTCACAAACTTTCTCTCATAATCCTGACATAACAGCTCGCAATTGATCAGTTTACAACGGGTCCCATATGAGTCACACTAATTAATTGCAAGCTGTCATGAATTGTAAGACAAAGTTTGTGAAAAAGGGTTGTTGGTATAGTATTACTCTATAATTTATAAACAATTAAAAACATTTCATAACTAAAATTAAAGATTTAACATGAAAATCCATACCTTCAAAAACAAAACTAAAAATTCTCATATAAAATTTTACTGTCCTTTTTCCTTTTTTTTTTTTAATTATATTTATAATTTAAAATTAAAATGTTTCTTTCTTTAATTTCATTATTTTTCTTAAGAATGTAAAATGACAACCATACCCTTATATTGTTTAATTTTCTCTAATTGTGGTAGCCTGACACTACAATAGGGGTGAGCACGGATAGTGGGTAGAACCGGAACCTGCCTGGAACTGACACTGTGTAGGTAAGTTCCGATTCCATTTTTTTGGAACCGAAACCGGAACTTGGAAAAAGGAATTACAGTGGGTACCTGGCTTGGAACCTGCAGCGAGTACCCGATTTGGAACCTGTTTTGGACCCTAGGCTAAAATGAAATATTTGTGAAAAATGGGGGGTCTAGTAATTTTACATATAAAAAATTTAAAATAGAAAAAGTTAAATTTTTACAATAACCTAATTAAATAAATATACAATAATACTTATTACATATAAACTACACCATATAAAAAACTTTAATATATTAATATTAAAGTTTTGATTAATTAAGTGTCTAATTGGATTAGGACCAATTAAAAGTGTTTTAATGTTATTAAAAAAATTATTTTTAATGAAATAGTATATTTGATTGAATAATAATATAATATTTAGTTATTTACTTCAATTATCAAGTTTTAAGTATAAATTAATAATTAATTAATTATATATGATAAATTAATAAACATTAATACAATACTAGTTAAATGATTACTTAATCAATTATAACATTACATTATAGTTAAATGATTACTTAATTAAATGATTATAAATTTAAATAACTATAATATTACATTAAATATTTATAGTATGATTACTTAATTCATTAAAACATTACATTATAGTATGATCACATAATTAATTATAATATTATATAATTAAATAATTACTTGATTAATTATAACATTCAATTATAAATATTAGTACAATACTTAATTAAATGATTAGAAATTTAATTAATTATAATATTACATTAAAGATTTGTAATATGATTACTTAATTCATTATAACATTACCTTATAGTATGATCACATAATTAATTATAACATTACATAATTAAATGATTACTTAATTAATTATGATATTATATTATAAACATTAGTAATTTACTACATTAACACGATATTTAATTAAATAATTAGAAATTTAATTAATTATAACGTTACATTATAAATTTATAGTATGATTACTTAATTAATTATAACATTACGTTATAAACAAATGATTACTTAATTAATTATAACATTCTATTATAAACATTAATACAATACTTAATTAAATGATTAGAAATTTAATTAATTAAAACATTACATTATAGTTAAATAATTACTTAATCAATTATAACATCACATTATATAATAATCACTTAATTAATTATAATATTACATAGTTAAATGATTACTATTATAAATTTATAACATTGCATTATAAAAATTAGTAATTTATTACATTAATACATTACTTAATTAAATGATTAAAAATTTAATTAATTATAACATTACATTATAGATTAATAGTATGATTACTTAATTAATTATAATATTCTATTATAAACATTAGTACAATACTTAATTAAATGATTATAAATTTAATTAATTATAATATTAAATTATAGATTTATAATATGATTGTTTAATTAATTTAATTAATTATTTGTGTTTTGGTTTTGATTGAGAAATTTTATGTGAATTGTAATGAATTGATTGAATTCAAGTGTTGTCTAGATATTAGAGGATTTATGAGTCACAATGGACACAAATGAATGAGTAATAAAAATTGACAGGGGTGTATTTGTAAACTTTTAAGGTATTTTTATCATTTTTTAAACTAATAAGGGGTAATTGATTTTTTATAGGGTACCCAGGAAAGGAATCAGAACCTACATTCTAGGTTCCGGTTCCTTAAATTTAAGAACATGCACTATGCGGTTCCGATTCCCCCGTAAAATGCAGGGTACTCAAAACCGCTCACCTCTACACTACAGGGACTATAATGAGCTTTCCAGATTTTATTGGACCAGATAATACTTTTTCCAAACCTCAAGGATGAAAAGGTCGCTAACTCTCTATATATCCTACTTTAAAAATTAGAGAAACTATAAAATATGACCCAAATGGGGGTTGGGAATTGTAAAGTAGCCCATATATGGAAAGTGTATCGAGGATTAGCCCAACCACAATTTCCCTTAATTTTCAGGACAAAATTGTCCGCGTTCATTAAACCTTCAACCAAATTCCAAGCTTTAAAATGTTCAATCTTTAGCAATCACTTGCAAATCCTGTTCTTTTGATTCCAAATCAATGAAAACCTAACATACCTTTTTGAAATGTAAATGGATCCTTCGGTTATTTGCACAGATGAAGAAATCAAATCTCTTCTTCTGCTCCGTTTTGATCAATATCGGTCAAATTATGGTTAAAGAAGATTTGAAATTGGAAAGGAGGATGGGGATGGCAAAAATTCCCCATGGAAATGAGCCCCGTTGGGCCATGTCCTGTTTGAACCGGGGATTAATTGTAAAGAAGCGAGGACGAGAATGATTTTTCATCCTTGTATTAATTTCGGGCTGATGATGGGGCTTGATAATAATTCCTAGCCCTCGACTTGAAAGCCCGACAAGATTTGAAAATTAAATAAATAAAAATATTTTTTAAAATAAATTGTTGAACAAAATAAATCATTTTCTCTTTCAATATTATTTATCGGAAACATATTTTACATAATGTACATATTATAGTTAAAGACAGGGGCGGATCCAGAAATTTCTTCTAGGGTGGGCCAAATAAAAATCAATTGGTATATGAAACATTCGTATTCTTTTTTCCAGTCAATATTGTCACCAAAAAAAAAAAAAAAATTACATTTACTATTGTCCTCGGCGGGGCTTCATATGAGGAATCGTTGCATGAATCTCTTTATCAACACTGTCAAATATATCTTTCTCAACGTATGGAATTAGACTATCATTCAAGAATTGATCTCTATCCGATTGCGTAAAATAGTTTTCACAATTTTCATAGCAGAAAATGCCTCTATCACTGCAGTTGCAACTGGTAAGGTTAAAGCCAATTTGATGAGCAAATATCACATGAGTAAATAAGATGCTTCTTCTTTTCAACATTTTCTGAGCAAGACTGATAATATCATTTAGTTCTGAAAAATCACTATTTGAGTGCATACATCAAGTAATTATCAAGTTGAAGTTCAAGTGTCATAAGATCAGTAGAAGAAAATTCAAGTGGATAAATTGAGCAAAACAAACTAATTTCCTTATCAAATGCTTGAAAGCAATCACTTGGATTTAGGGAGGCCAGCAAATAAGTAATTTTGTATTACCTTCATTAAAACGACTGTCAAGCTCTGATAGTTGCAAATCTATATGGCATAGAACAACTCAACACGATAATGAATAAATTTGTCATCTCTTGAACATTACGCCGCGATCTCCCTGTGCAAAAAATTTCTCTTGCATATTGGCATATCTATATTATGAGCAATGCAAAAATGAGAACTTCATCAAGTAGATTATCCCATCCGTTATTTCTATCAACAATAATCTTCTTTTGACAAGTGAACTAAAGACATAGCATTATTAAATCTTGATCCTTCCTTGCAATGCTTGTGAAAGTTCAAATGTGATTCCCAAAATGTTTTCATCATGTGCAGGTTAAAAGCAAAATCAAAAGAAGTCATATAATCCACCAAATCACTTGCTTCAACTCGATTATAAGATTTCAGTAAGATCCTCAAGCACTTCAATAAAAGATGAAAACAAATTAATCAAGCTCAATAAAGTCCCATAATGTGAACCCCACCGTGTTTCCCCTGGTTGTTTTAGACTAGTATCTTGATAAGACCT